CTGCCAGCTCCAGGGGAGCACGGGGCGCTTCCCGCTGGTTCCGCGGCACCCCGGGGACCCTCCCCAGCCCCGGGCAGTGCGGGGGGTGCGCGGGGCCAGGCATCCCGCAATGCACACGCGGCCCCCGTGCAAGGCCCAGCCCGCAGCGGCCCCCGGCCCGCACGCACCAGCGCAGCAGTGCCCCGCACGAGCCCGCCCGCATGCCCCTGCCCGCTCTGCCTGGCCGCGCCGCGACCTCAAGGGAGGGCACGCGTCCCGCGCCGCGATTGGCCGAGGGTCCGCAAAGGGGCGGGACCAACGGGCGCCGCTGCCTCTGATTGGCCGTGGAGGAGGGCGGACTGAGGCTGCGCAGGGGGAGGTGCTTCCGCCCTGCGACCCGGCCGGGGCCTGCTCCGAGACGCCGGGCACTCAGACATGCACACACATGTGCACATACCCATACGCACGCACACACATGCATGTATGCACGCGCATGTGCACACCTCTATGCATCCACATACGTATGTACATGTGCACATACAAGTATGCACGTATATGTAGGCCCACATGCCCATACATGTATGCGTGTACATACACATGTACATAGATATGTACACACACAGTGAAGGGTGGAAACACGGGGGAGCCCGGTGCTGGGCGTGCAAATGCAATGCTGGACGTGGGCATCACGAGTGCCTTTTGCATGAGGGGCTGCAGCGTGCTGCACCGCCCTGGCCACTGCTGACAGCTGGATGAGGCCCATTTTGGAAAGCGGGGGGTCTGTCACACCGGCCTGAGCGGGTAGGCAGGCACCAGCTCCAGGCGGAGTTCATCCAGGACCCTAAATCGAAAGCCCTGTCCTGGCAGTGCCAGGGGAAGGCAGGCAGGCAGGAGGAGCCCCCCCCAACGCCATCTCGCAGGCTTCGCCCGCCAGCACGCACAAGACGTGGAGAAGGGAGTGAATTATTTATTGCTGCCGAGCCGAGGGACCAGGCAGCTATTTTGATCCTCTGCTGCAAGATGAGATGACCTCACCTGTTGCCGGAGCAGCCCGGCCTCGCTGGCCCGGCTGCCATGACCCGCGGCGCTGCACTGCAGGGAATGTGCTGGGAAGGGACACGGGACAGGGCAGCATGGGGCCAGCCCAGCCTCCCCGACCCACCTGGGACCTTTGCTGGCTTCCCGGAGGCTCAGAGCAAGCACGTGGCCCTGTAAGCGCCTCCCCAGGGCTCAGCGAAGCGGGTGACAGTCCCCAAGGGAGACAGCTGCGTGCACAAGGCCCGGCCTGGCTTGCTCCCCGTTCACAATTAACTGCACACACGCACACGCCTGCCTCCAGGAAAGCACCGGTAACCAGTGCACATACATTTAAAATGTTTGCGCCCACCCCTCACTGGCAGCAAGGAGAGGCGGACTTTTTTTTCCTAATAAAAATTCATTTCTGGGCCAAATCTGTTCCGAATTAAATTCTACATTTCAGCTGAGCAGAGCTCAGTCATTCACATCTGCCTGGCACTACCACCAGCAAGTCTCCTCCCTCCTAGACTGGGCCTGTGATGCTCCCAGATCCATGGCAGGCACTCAGGTGCCTCGGGAGACCTTGGAGTTCAGATGCCCCCTAGTCTCCCTTGCCCTCCGCCTAGGAGCAAGCTGGAGGGAAAGTCTGAGCCATCCTCCACCACCATAAACCATGCAGAAGGGATCATACATGAGGAGGCATCTGTAGACTCTGCAGTGCAAGGGACAGGCCTTCACCCTGACTGCACTGAGTCATTCAAGGCCCAGAAGATCCTCGCTCCTGGTATCTTCCCTGCCAGGGGGACCTGAGGGCGCAGCCTGTGCTCTCTGCTCACGGGTACCTTCAAACCCTGGCCTGCAGCCAGCGGCAGGGAAACAGCCTCCTGCACAGAGCGGTGTCCCCCAGCCGCAGGATTTACCGCTCAGCAGCTGGTTGCAGGAGCCGAGGCGCCGTGCCAGCCAGGCCGGTGCAGCTGCCCGGTGCTCTGCTGCAGGCCGTGGCCTGGGGGGGCCCTTCCCTGCTCCCCACGGCCTCTGCAGCCGCTGCACTCCCCTTGCTGTCCGCTGCAGGCATGAAGCGCCAGCTAATGTTGCTGAGCAAACACGAGGATAGGGTGGGCACTGGACACCCCCTGCCCCCCACCAGGTCCTTCCATCCATGGCTGTGATTTCCTCCAGTAAAGTGGGGTGGGGTGGGGGGGTCCATGGAGACTCAAAGAGATGCTGCATCCAAGTGTCCCTGCTCTCCTCCTAGGTGTAGCACCCCCAGGAGACAAGTGATGGAGATGGCTGGGCCCCCATCGGCTTTCCTTTGAAACTCAGGGGTCTTGTGCAAGCTGCACAACACATGCACACACATGCAGTACGTGCATACGCGCACTCCTGACCCGACACGCCAGCCTGCCACCACCCCCAGACACACCCGGGGGCCTTACGCCCGCCCTCAGGAGCACCTGGCAGGCTGCGCACGCACACACACCCTGTGCCCGGACCCCTCCCACCCGCTTGCCCGAGTCTCCCTGGCTTCGCTCCGGCTGGGTGTCAGGTGGCTGCTTGGCTCCTGCAGAGCTTCCAAGTATCTTCCCCACCCATGCACACACACACACCCATGCACATGCACACCCATACACACACTCCCTTGGAGCATTGCCTGGCACTGATCCCTCCCCTAAAAGGCCTGAATAATTCAGGAGTCTCTGGGAAAGGCTTCCCGCAGGGCAGGGCAGGGCAGGGTAGAGCAGCCAAAGTGGGGAGGATTTGCTGGGGCAGTTGGATGTGCCAGGGCCTGCCTGGCCATGTGGCAGGCGAGGAAGGAACCAGGTCGGCTCCTGCAGAAGCAGCGAGCTCCCAGCCTGGGCAAGCTGAGCTCCATCCCAACCAGGGGCAGAGGGTCTCATAAATACCCTCCTGACCCACAGCTGGTGCAGGAAGGGCTCGGACGCGGTGCCAGGGCACTGTGCTCCAAGGTGGCGATCCCGGGAGGGGGGGAAGCGGTCAGGCCTGTGCCCAAAGGCGCTGGGGGTTGAACCAGCACAGACAGGCCCAGCTCCCAGCTCGCTGCAAGGTGCGCTCAGGGCCCAGGAGGGGTGACAAGGAGGCCGCGTGGTACTGCCGGGGGTAGAGGCTGCCCCGGGGGGGAGGCAGGGTTATAAATGGCTCGGTAAAGGTTAAGAGGCATTCAGCAGCCCAGGTCAGATTACCTGCCCGGGTCTAGAAATAGCGGCGTGACCTCCTGGGCTGAAAGCAATACCAGCGAGGCGAGTGGCCTGCAAGGGGCAGCGCGGGCTGGTGGGCAGAGCAAGGGGGAGTGTAATGGGCTCTGCGGCCCCATGCCTGGCTCTGGGGTCCTGTGCCCAGCTCTGGGAAGGGGAGTGACGCCCAGGAGCTAGAGAAGGCTGGGCTGGGAGCCAGGTCTCGGGGGTCTCTTCCCAGAAGGGGAAAGGAGCCTTGTTGCAGCAATGGGAGGGGGGGGACGGGGACCGTGGACACCCGGGTAAGCCCATGCCCTGCTTGTGCCGCTCGCCCTCCTCGTGCATGGGGGCACGCGCCTTCCCTGAAGCCCCCGACTGCCCCTCCGTCCCCCCAGGCATCACCTGTGCATCCAGCCGCCCCCGGGCAGGCGCACTGTCTGCCCACCACAGAGGCAGCATATCCCGCCCTGCCTGCCCATCCATCCCAAAGGCCCCCACCTCCCTGCCTTTCATCCCCCAAACCCCCACCTCCCTCTCTGTCCGGCCATCCCC